CCTGGGAGAGGGGCGGCCTTTTCTGGGAAGCATCTGGTGCCCAGGACTCTGGCATCTCCTTGTAGCAGGGTGCTGTGGAACTAATGGGGGTTTCTTCTCCAGGCAGCAATTAGGGGTTAATGATTAGCAATTAGGGGTTAGCCACATGCTCCTCGGTCCTGATGCGCTTTCCCCGAACACAGAGCGCTTGTCTTTCTCTGTCGCAGCCTGGGAACCATCTGTCCTAAAGGGCCCTGTTAATCATTGTGGTGGGGTCCCCGTGAGCCTGGCAGCGGGCGGGCCTTTAACCAGGCTGCCGTCGCTCGCTGAGCGCAATGCACTGACCTCCATGGGCCACTGTCAGCAGGGCTTCGGGCTGGGCCTCATCTTGACTCTGCAGCCCTGGCACCCAGGCCTGGAGCCTCCTGGCACACCCCAGGCCACCGCCAACCCTGTCCTCCAGCTCTCTTTATTTTTAACATTTTATTGGGAATTGAGCTAGGAGCCTTGGTGGCATAGTAGTTGCTGGTTGGGCTGCTAACATCAAGGTCAGCAGTTCAAAACCACCAGCCGCTCCTCAGGAGAGAGATGAGGCTTTCTGCTCCTGTCCAGAGTGACAGTCTCAGAAAGCCGTGGGGGCCGTTCTGCCCTGTCCCACCGGTCGCTGCGAGTCAGAGTGAACTTGATGGCAGTGAATTTGGTCTTTCGGTTTATTGTGAATTGGGTGGGTTTACAATGCCATGCCACCCGGCCCCCTCCCTCCCTGTGTTCCCCATTTCTGTCCCTCTTCCTCCAAACCTTCCTGCCGTCGGACGGTATCTTTGAGTAAATGCTGCGCTTTCGGTCTCCTGTGCTCCATTTGTCTAAGCTGGAGTGTGAGCCTACCTGGGGGCATCGTTACTGTATAGACGGCTCTGTTGCTCAGCTACTGGAGCCCTCGTGGTGTTGTGGGTCTGAGCTGGGCTGCGCTCCCCATGGTCAGCAGTTCAAAATCACCAGCTGCTCTGCAGGAGAAAGACTGGGCTTTCTACTGCCGTCACAGTGACAGTCACTCATCGGGAGTGGGTTTGAGTGTTGGTGAATTGTTTGGCTGCAAACGGAGCCATGGTGATGAATCCGTTTCTAGGCTGGAGCGGACGTGAACAAAGGACCGCTGGCCGGGGACTCCACCGGTCTGTCCGAGCGGCCAGTACCCGCCCCGCCCCTGCCTGGCCTGGTCTTTCTTCCTAATGATTTTACGTCCTGTTCTTTCCTTCTCTTCCCAGACGCTACTACAAAGAGGCGGCTGGCCTGATGCTGGACGTGGGCGCCTACACAAAGGCCCTTGAGGTACCTGCCCAGGGGCGTCCCCAGTGCCATCTGTGCCCATTGGGGTGCTTCCCTGCGCTCGTAAGGCCACTTCCACCTTGGGGGCCCAGCTGGGTGCTCCCTCTCGCTGATGTCAGCCCCACCCTGCCTGCCTCCCCCAATGGCAGGCTGGCACCCCCGCGTCTGCCCTCACCCACTGTCCTCTCCACTCTGGCTGACCCCCACCTCCTTCCTGCCCCTGCCCCTCAGAGCACCTCAAACTGGGCAGGCCCTCACTAGCCTCCTTCCCAGCCCCGCCTCCAGTTTCCCCGACTGGCAGTCTGCTACCCCAGCGTGGGGCTCCTGTCCCCCGCAGCTCTTGTCACTTTTACCTGGACCCACACCCGGTGGGCACGGGGAGGGCTGGTGAGTGGTGGAGCCCAGGGGTCAGGGGGGCAGCCCATGGCTTGGTCCCCAGCTGTGGTTGGGCCGTGAGCAGGGGTGCAGTGAGCATGCCGGGCAGCCCTTACCCATGAGAGGCACTTCCCAGCGTGAGAGGCACTCGGCCACACACCTTGGGGTCCCTGAGCCCTGAGCGCACATTTGGAACCTCAGCTTGCCACAGCAGCAGACGAGCGAGCGTCTGAAAGAGGGAGACCCCCACCCCCCACCCACCCCTGCAGGCCGGGCGTGCCCCTGCTCCTGCCCCAGACTCAGGCTTGCCTTCTCTGCCCCCAGTATGCCTGTGGCATCGAAGCCGAGGTGGTGGGGAAGCCTTCGCCCGAGTTCTTCAAGTCTGCCCTGCAGGAGTTGGGGGTGGACGCTCACCAGGTACGAGGGCACCTGGGCTGTGGGCGGGGGCAGGCAGCTGGCAGGTCGCTGGAGCCCTGGAGCTGAGGCTGCCCGAGCTGGAAAGGGGGTGGGGCTCAGCGCACAGACCCTGTACAGAAGCCGATTTAGCTGGACGTGCTGGGGGCGGGGCGACAGCAAGGGAGGTCAAGGCCCCTATTTCCACCGCGTTCAGTGTGAAGCCAAGAGCTGGAAATGCCCGTGGCCGGCCCTAGCTGCTGCTTGGCTGCCCTCGGGTCCGACCCGTCTGTTTAAACAAGCTCATCAGAGAGAAAGAGCAACAGCGAGATTGAAGCATGTGCAAGAAATCGCAAGGCCTGGGGGGACAGAGGACGTCCCAGGCACACCCAGATGCCTCAAAAGCAGAGAAGGGGGCAGTGAACACGACGTGACTTTAGTGCCCACAGCCCCTCTGCGTCCCAGTGAGGGGGCTTTCTAGGGTGCTGGGAAGAAAAGCAGACACCATCCTGGGCCAGCTCCCATCCCACTGCTGTCCCTTCCTCAGGGGGCCCGGGGGAATCAACCACATGGCGGCTCCCCGGGCAGGCCGAGGCCCCAGGCCCACCAAGGTGCTGCCCTGTGCTGGGCCAGCATTTCTGGAGGGTCTGCTGTGGGGCTGCCGCACCCTGACCCCTCTGCGGTTCTCCAGGGTGCAGTTTGGGGAGCCTGCTGACCCGGGCAGGTGCTGTTAGAGATGGCAGTGAGGGAGGCGGCTCATAGGACAGGCTCTTTTTCATTTAAAAAACCACCTGCACACAAGCCAGGCCACCACGGCCGGGGTTCCACACAGACGCGATTCCACCGCCCTGCCTTCATCCATCCCTTTCCGTTCTTTCTTAAGAGCCCTTTTCCGCTCATTCGCTTTTCCTCGCCGATCTCAGGTTGTGTTGTTGTGATTGTTCCCTTTCATGCTGCACCTCCGGGGTGTTATCTGGACTCGCCCACACCCACACGCACACGGGCCCCAGGCTCTCAGGAGCGTTCTCTGACCTTCCGTCTGTGACCTGTGTCCAAACCGGTTGTCATGTCTCTGTAGTTCCCTTTGAAGCTCTGTCAAAGAAAACGTCAAACCACTAGGAGATTGGCCTGAGCCACTCTTCAGATCCTGAATGGCCACTATCCCCTGAAGTTTCCTCGAAACTAAGTAGTAGTTGAGTGCTAAGAGCCAAGGTGGCCACCCCGACTCTGGTGTTCTTAAATCAACCGCCTGAGCCGGAGACGCAGCGGGCAGCGGTGGGTGAGAACAGAAAGAAGCAGAATGTTGACGCCGGGTCAACAGCGTGACTGGTGACCACTGACCAGGATGTCTAAGGATCAGACCCAGAGCAGGCTTTGTGTATTTTTTGTCCAAAGAAAATAAAATGTTAACTGTTAAAAAAGAAAAAAAAATTCTTTGGAAGTCGAGACAAGTCATGTCTCAGGTTCCCAGGTTCCATTCCCTGGGCTCCCATAAGGAACCGATCACCCCTTAAAGTCACGACCTCCCCCCTGATGGAAGTGCAGACGTAGAAAAGAGTTGCAAAAATGGTCCATAGAACTCCCACGTGCAGACGTCTGTGAGTGTTACCTTACACAGCCACCGACCAGACACCCGAACCGGTGAAGTCCCACTGATGTGAACGAGTCTAGAGGCTTCTTCAAACGCCGTCCATCACCCCACTACTGCCCCAGGAGCACACATGGCGCCCAGTAGCTATGTCCCCTCATCCTTCAGTCCGCAACAGCTCCTTAGTCTTTTCTGAACCGTGCCAGCCCATGCTCAAATGCTAACGTAAAGGCTGGCTTCCAGAAAGATCTAGAAGAAAGACGTGGTGATCTACTTCCAGAACAGTCAGTCTGTGGAGGGCTCTGCGGAGTGACCCTCTGCTGACTCACAGCCGGTCGTGTGACTCAGAGTTAATACCATGCCATGGGGGTTGGTGGTTAACAGCAAGTTATTTTTGTAGCATGTCCACCGTTCCCACCCTGATGTCTCCATGCAATTTCATTCTCGTGATGGATTTTTGAGCTGGAATCCCACAACAACACGCGGCACCCCCTCCGGGTGTACCCTATCCAGAGGCAGGTAATCATTTGTTCCAGGACAGGTGATGTGGTGATGTTACACTGGAGTCACCGAGTTTCTCCCCATGTGCGTGTTTCGATGTGTCCCTTGTAATGAAGTAACTTGTGGGGCGAGGAGTAACACACTGTGTACAGATCCTTTCCCCCCTCCTACTTTGTAGCCACCGTTGATAATCTTGCCCCAACACAGTGGTGTTTGCCCCACGATCGACCCCTTCATGACACTTCATTAGGTGGGGGTTTGCAGCGCCGATCAGCTCCCCCTGTTTGCCTTCCACGACGTTGGTATCAGACTTCCCAATGGTTGGCCCTATGGTCGCCATTCCTCTTACAGGCATAGTTCATCTGACTGGCAGATGTTGGTTTTCTGTACTGTTTTTACAAATGGAAAGTTACTCATTATTTCTTGCTTCTCACAAATCCAAGGTCACCTGCACGTGCCCCCTTTTCCAGCAGCAAGTCTCCCTGTTGGTCACTCTCATACCATCTCAGGCTTTTCAGTGATGCTAGGAGCCCTGGTGGCAGAGTGGTTATGTGCAGGGCTTCTAACTGCAAGGTCAGCACTTTGAAAACACCAGCTGCTCCTCCGGAGACATGGGAGCATCTTGCACCCGTAAAGAATTAAACCCACAGGGGAAGTTCTACCTTGTCCTATAGGGTCGACTGATGGCAGGGCGTTTGTTTGATTGTTTATTATGTACTGAGTGGACCACAGTCCGGTGCAAACATCAGGTTGGTGCAGAGTGGTGTGAAAATGGCATCGTGGGACAGCAGCGTCTGAGCTCCTCTAACATCTCGAGGGGAGAGAGAATTACATTAGCACCAACCAAGGCCGAGTGTTGAGCGGTCAGAAATGCCTCCACCTCCCCATCTAGTTACCAGTTCTGACACCGGCCTCCCTTCCCACAGCAACTCTCTACCTCTCTGTGGGGCTCACGATCCACACGCTGCAAGCCACCTCTTCTCTGCCGCTTCTCACCCTCCCTGGTGCCACAGCCCTTAAAGGAAACCCGCGGCAACCTTGGTGGCTTTGCGTTGATCAGGATGTTGTGAGGGTTTTGTTTTCCTTATATTGAGGTGTGATCCATACTGAAGACTGTCGTCTTTGATTTGCACCAAGTCCCCTCACGTTCAGCAAGCAAGGTTACGTGGCATCTCTACACGGCAGGTTGTTGGCGTCTCCCTCCAATCCCGATGCCAGTTCCTACAGTCCCGCTTCTTGGATGGTTTGAGGCATATGTAAATAGGGTCAAAGAATACATCCCCGACACAGAGCATTTGTCACTCTCAGCCAGGCAGGATCCCTTGCTCTGGACAGCTGCCTGTTGGTCTGTGTACAGGGTCAGCATGAGCACACGAAGTCACCGAGGATTCCCATTCTTTGCAAGGTCACCCAACGTCTGCTGTGGTCGATCCAGCCACATGCGTCTGCCCCGTCAGTAACACAGACCAGTACGCCTCTGGTGTTCTCTTGCTTTGCTCCAAATCCATCTGACGTCGGCAGTGATTCCCTGGGTTCACGTCCCCTTCTGCATCCAGCTGGAATTCCCAGCAGTTCCTTGTCAAAGTATGGTTGCAACTGTCTTCAAATGATCTTCAACACATGTCCACTTCCTGGTGCTATAACTGATTGTGTTCATCTGGGATGACTAGAGAAGTGAATCCGATATTAGCCCATGTGTCCCTTACCAGTCTACAAAATCTCACGCAGCACATGCAATGACCTGAATGCAGGAAGAAAGATCGCAGGCCAGTGGATGGAAAGTCTCATGGATCCCGTGATGGTGAAGCCTCTAAGCACTGGCGTGGGTCTCCATGTGGCTCCTCCAGCCCCAGGGCTCTGGCTTCATCAGTGTAGCACATCTGGTTTGTCAGCAAGAAGACGAAGCAGAGAGTCTATGTATCTGGCCTCCAGTGAGCTGTTTATCTCCTGGATGCCTCTAATTAAAAGAGGTCATCAAATTGCGACTTGATTGACAGGCTAGACTCCACCCCTCCACAAGCGGACACCAGATCATGTAACTGGCACACTGGCCGTGTCAGTCATTTCCACATTCTGTCGGATCACTGTTTTAGGAGTGGGCATAGACAGCGCTGTCTTCCAGTCAGCCGGCGGGTGTCTTAGCCAGGATAGGTGAGCGCTCCAGCATGGCACCGGTGTGCTGAAGCATCTCAGCGGGCTTTCTGTCGATTCTTAGAGCCGTCTCCCTTCCACACCCCAGGCTGTTTTCATCACATGCTGCCTGCTGGCGTGGTTGAGACGCCTCCCACTCCCGTTTGGCACAGTGACCGCGGGCATTCCTTTCATCTCCTCGGATGCTTCCTGTGTCCTTTGGTATTTTACTCCCAGCCTTCAACACCTCAGCTCGGTCTTCTTCCCTTTTCTCTGCGGAGGGCGTCTTCTTCCCTTTCGTCTTTCTGAGCCCGGGCTTCGCACTGAGTACCAAGGTGCTTGACTTGCCTCTGTCTGTTGTTTCCCTGCACTGGCTTCATTAGCTTCCAGGATAATGAGCCGACTCTTCTGCCATCATCCCGGGGTGATGGATGAGATCTAAAACCCATTGGTCCGTATCGGAGACGGGGTGTGCTTCAAGCCTCTGCAGCTCTTATGTTCCAGGTCCTGAGTTATGTCCTCTCTGACCAGCAGCCGTCTCTCAAGTTGGCATCTGAGTCCCTTAGGTGGGACAGGGTCCTTTGCCGTGACCCTGGTAGCCTTTGAGGGTGACTCCACTCTCTGGCATAACCAGATCTTCCTGATGTGTCTTGTATATTTCCTGACTTAGGCCTGGAATCAAGGAGCCCTGCCTCCCTTGGTGGAAGCCGTGCTTAGAAGCCGGGGCCGGGGCCTCGCTGATGCTCACTGCACTGCACTGCGCTGGCCACCGTGGAGCCTTTGCACTGGGCGGAGTTGGGGAATC